TACGTAATAACTACGAAATAAATTTTGTTAATGATTACATAATTTAACAGGCGATTTTTTTTTTATTCCTTTAAAGTAAAGTATGTATACATGTACCTTAAGGAACAAAGGAGTAGGTCAATTGAACATATTTTCAGTAATAAAAATTTTATTGAATAAAGTCTATGTACTCTTATAACATGAAAGTTTTCATTTGTTATTTGATTATCTCTACACCTCTTTACTTTATTTTATTTTACTTTGTATTTCTTCATTCCTATGAGTCCCATCACAGAAGGGTCTATTGGATGTTTGTTTACAATTGCACAACCAATAGTCTTTAGTTTCTTTCACCATAAAACGTATGGGCCTCTGTTTAATTTTGAGAAATATATTTTTATGAGTGCCGTCACAGAAGGGTTGGCTATGACTATAACCACATAGGCACCATGAATATATTTTCCCAGCTTCACATGTGAATTTGAACGGTTTAACATCGTATACAACTCCGTTGACAGTTTGATCGTTTGCACTATAATATTTCTTTAATTCATTCTGTGGAATTTCTATCTTTTCTTCTTTTTTGGTAGAGTATTTTACCTGAAATGAAGAGTGTTCGTATCCAAGAGTGCGAAACACGATTTTACAATACATATAACCTAACAGTAAGTACAATCTTTCGAATAGATTGATAAAATTGTTAAAACTGCATTAATAACTAAGTTCGCTTACGTTTTGACATCTGGAAATGTTAAAGTGTATACACCGTGAGATTCTATTTAGCAGTTTAATATTCATTATAGTCATTATAGCTCCACCACACAGTGTTAACCACTAAGGAACAGCAGACGAAATACGTGTAATTGTCCAATCAATTTCGACTATGTATCCGTAAAATATTTGAAATAAGAAAGTGACTTCTACGTTATCGTATCCGACCGTGGATTGTCTCGAAGAAGTACTGTGCATTAATAGTTATCAGATTTCCCATTTGTGATTTATATTTTATTTATTTTTAATTTAATGAAAAGGCTGCTGTACACAGCTTATGATTTTGCTGTAATGGTGGTGCAAGAAGGATAGTAATGGCAAATAGTGGCGCCATCTTCGCTATGTGTAAGACAAAGAGACAGAGATAGTGTGTGTGGCAAGGACTACCGTGCCACCAACTTTTTCACCGAACTTCGAATTCCCTGGTAAATATTAATAAAACATGATGTGCATAGAGGTATCCAACAAGGACAGACTTATGCATATCACGCAGTAAACAGTAAGACTGACGGTGAGTCTCCTCTTAACATAACAAATCGAGAGAAAATTGATTAATTACTCACTTCTCGTTAATAAGTTATGAAACATTTGCGATTGAAGAATGTAAAATGGACTTTCCTCTACTTTCACATATAGTTTTTGTTAGGATTTTGTAGTTTTCTAGCTGTGTCCCGAAATAATCTCAAAAAATGAAACAACAATACGTGTTGTAAAGTAACGGCGCCGCGTGTTTCGGATGTTGCGCCAGGTGTATGGATGCGCGAAAAGAGTGAGACAGCAAGCATGGTAAAAAGTGTGATAAACTACAATGGTTATCAGTGTGACTCATCTGCACGTGGTTGAGTTGATGTTGTGCTGTCTTACTCGCTATTTCCACTCTGTCATTGACTATGAGGGCAACACTGTTCAGCTGACAATCGTCAGCCAATCAGAACACAGCAATTCGCTGTATGCTTTCAATTCATGAATTGAGAGATTGCGTTCGCGAATCTGCCACAGTAGATGGTGCCACCAGTTGCAGTTACTGGCAGAATTCACGTACAAGAAACTCTTCATAATAACGTACTATTAGTATGTAAATACACGTGTTTAGTATTCTGTCGGTAATATCCGAGTATTTCCGATTGTACACGAGTCGGTTCATTCGCTGTATGCAAATTAATACTGTTGGGAATCGATAGTCATCTGATCGATTGTATACTCATTTGCCCGCGTAATAAAAACAAGTGTAATTAAGATAATTTGAAATTAATTATGCCTTCCCGAGGCGAAGACATTCTAAAGGGCTTCCAAGTGTATCCTTTTCGATATAATTTAGTCATAAGTAATTGATAATTTCAGGCATACTTTTATTGGTTAAGAGAGAACGGAAAGTAAATTGTATACATTTTACAATATTATCATTAGTTTGTTTATTCTGTTTCCTTAACTAAGTTATTATAGAAATTGGATGAATTTACGAGATGCTGATAGTGGGAAGATATTATGGCAAGGCAACGAAGACTTGTAAGTACAACATAACCTAGATACGTTTTTGATATTAATATTATAATAATTTATTTACGTTGTGAAATATTTTTTTTAAGATCCGTACCTGAAGTAGAACACGAAGCGAGAGTTCCCAAAAAAATTTTAAAATGTCGAGCAGTTTCTCGTGAGATTAATTTCAGTTCGGCCGAACCAATGGAAAGATTTAGGTTAGAACAGAAAGTATTGTTTAAAGGACGGTGTTTAGAGGAATGGTTTTTCGAGTTTGGTTTTGTTATACCGAACAGTACGAACACGTGGCAGAGTTTAATCCAAGCTGCGCCAGAAAGTCAAATGATGCCAGCCAATGTGTTGAAGTATTATATTATCATTTTTTAACTATGACTTTTACGGTATTACATATTTGTTTAATTCATTTCTAATTTGATCCTAGTGGAAACGTGGTAATAGAGACAAAATTCTTTGACGACGATCTGCTGGTCTCCACAAGCAAAGTTCGACTTTTCTACATCTAACAATCTCTATTCTATTCTGGCATCAATATTATTTGGGTCCAACATATGCATTTCAATGCACAAGATGAAGATAGAATATAGAGACTACAAAAATTCTAAAAGAAGTTCATATTGAACATATTACTTTATGCACCTACTGTGATATGCACGTGCTAGATGTATTTTCTCACAAGATTCACTTAACAGAATGAGTGGCTCATGTTTGTGACTTTTAAATAAGCTGATAAAGACTTACTATAATATTGTTGAATGTGCACTTTACAGCACATTGCTTTTTTATTTACTAAGTATATATGGATAGTAACTTTTGTACATATTGTAATACACTACACTTCTGTAACAAAGCAATATATGTATATATATGCATAATTATAAAATTGTTATATTTTAAAAGCTCCCCGTTTTAACTATTTTATTAATGTACAATTAGTTACTAGAATTTGTATTTTACATTTGTTCTATTTCTTCACCTTTATATATCACTTGAAAAAAGCAATTTTATCTCTATAAGANATTGTTGAATGTGCACTTTACAGCACATTGCTTTTTTATTTACTAAGTATATATGGATAGTAACTTTTGTACATATTGTAATACACTACACTTCTGTAACAAAGCAATATATGTATATATATGCATAATTATAAAATTGTTATATTTTAAAAGCTCCCCGTTTTAACTATTTTNTAATTTTGAAGATTATATTTACCCTTAGATAGCTGATACAAAAATAAAGGATTAATTAAAAATTGAAGAAGTTATTTACTTGGTTACATATCTCACAAGGAAGATCAGAGTGAATTTTTAAGCTCCCGCATCGTTATTATTGCTGTAACAATTATATCTATTGACGAAATAAGAAAGCTGTAGGTTTCATGTTCAGAGTAAAATGTTATTAACACCAATATTAGATGACCATAAGTTTGTAGCATATTTACAACAGACCGTTTTTTATTGACCTTTTTATTTGTTTACCTGAATGACCCCCAAAACGGAGTACCTTATTGCAACAATCCGTTCAATAGAGGTTTCACGATCTCTATAAAACAAACGAGAGAAGTTGGATATACCTTCGCCGTTGTACATTCGTGCTATTGATTCCTGGTGTACAAGCAATACATTTTTGAGGCTTCACTACCCCTCTTGAGGGAGTTCATGTTGAATATACTCTATCCCCTACCCTGTCTGCATAGCACAGGTGTAAGGAAAAAAAGGAGGAAAAGAGAAAAGAAATAGCGGGAGTTGCGGAGCCACTGTGGTACCCACACGAACTTCTCAACCTGGTAGTGATTCAATTACCATTAGACTATCCTTCATCGGTCCGTCATACCGGACAGCTTATTCCGATGTTTAATTAGTTACAACGATTATCGTTCGTCAAAGTATCTCATGATGGATCTGAAGGAGGAAGACGATGGTGGCAACGACAGTGGTAGACAATTATTTTTGGTGGGTGCACCCCGTGATCCGTTGGTATCCGCTGGTGCGATCGTCGCCTCCGCTGGTGTGCCAGACGAGATCAACCCTGGAGGAGATCTACAGTCGACGGCTCTGGCTGGTCTGATAGGCGCGCAATCTTCCTCGGTTTGCTTTCCAACAAAATTCTGTAAGTGCACCCTGCCANATTGTTGAATGTGCACTTTACAGCACATTGCTTTTTTATTTACTAAGTATATATGGATAGTAACTTTTGTACATATTGTAATACACTACACTTCTGTAACAAAGCAATATATGTATATATATGCATAATTATAAAATTGTTATATTTTAAAAGCTCCCCGTTTTAACTATTTTATTAATGTACAATTAGTTACTAGAATTTGTATTTTACATTTGTTCTATTTCTTCACCTTTATATATCACTTGAAAAAAGCAATTTTATCTCTATAAGAAATG